TATATATATATATATTAGATACATACGTCAGAAAGAAGAAATTTTTAAAAACAAATTAAGACTGAATAAAAAAAAAGACAACAATAAATAATGGGAAGAAATATTTATTAAAAATAACTAATGGGCTTTGAAAAATAAACTTAAGACAACAAGATTTGTACCTTTAATGCATCAATGTATAAAGTGATTGTATGGGCAGAATACATTTGCCTTTGAAAATATATCAATGATATTTCTCTCACCACATTAGAATTTTTAAGATGAAGTGCTTTATTAGGATTCTCACATTATGGCAGCTTCTAGGTTATATAACATTGCATTAAGTGAACACATGGCAATCAAACAACACTTGAAGATGATCTTAGTGGAAAAACTTATTACAAGAATCAGTTTTTAAAATGCATGGAAACACTGTTTACTCTATTTTAAACCACCCTATTTAAAGCCTTGAACCAAAGGAAAAGGTGTCCTATACAAGGATGAAAACCTTTAATACTGAGGAAAAAATCTTTTTATATAATTTAAAAGCATGAAATAAAAGAATTAAATTTATTAATACACAGAATTTGAAATAAATTCATTTCGATTGTATAAATATTTTAAGTCAGACATAACAGATCTTTTGTTATTTCTTAATAATAACATCGATGAATAATATTTACCTAACAAATAAGGCTGTTTATGCATAGAGAAATAAGAATTTATTCCTAAAATGCAGGGGGGAAATATTTTTATTATAAGAGTCACTTATAAATTGAAAAAAAAGTTAACAGAAAATATGCAGTCACTAGAAAATAAATATGATTCGAAATTTTTAAAACCTTTCCATACTTTAATATACTTTTTCCATACTTAATTTTCTAGTGACAGATCTTTTGTTATTTGTTAATAATAACATCGATGAATAATATTTACCTAACAAATAAGGCTCTTTATGCATAGAGAAATAAGAATTTATTCCTAAAATGCAGGGGGGAAATATTTTTATTATAAGAGTCACTTACAAATTGAAAAAAAAGTTAACAGAAAATATGCAGTCACTAGAAAATAAATATGATTCGAAATTTTTAAAACCTTTCCATAGTTTAGTAGTAAACATTAAATTGTGTAGTTAATGAAATTCCTAGTTTTATGCTTGGAAAATTATTGTTTCCAAGAAGTAGCTCAACATGTTTCTTATGCCTGTAAAATTAGTCTTTTCAAAAAGTAAATTTGTTCCTATTGAAAAATGAGTGCCATCAAAATGTAACTTAACATGTTTTTCCACTAAGTTTTTTATTCAACAAACTTCATTACAATTCGAGTCAATTAGGTAAGGGGGGAAAAAACACATTTACTTAAATCACATAACATTACTTAATTAGTATGATTTCTTACAAACTTAAAAATGAATTCTAATTCTCTTAGCATGCGACAGCTACAATACAGACAAGCATAGAAACAAAAATTATATATATATATTTAAGATTTTTTAAAATATAGTTATTTCAAACATACAAGATAGAACTAAGATATACACCAACAAAGAAATCTATAAAATAAAATTCTGTACAAACTTGGGAGATAAAAAGAACCGGTATTCAAATCTTATAAAACACACAACAAAAAAAGAAAAACTACCTAAACTGTGATTGTGCAGTGTGATGCAATTTAAAAACTACATATAAATGTAAAATGTAGCGCTAAAGACCCAAACTGTGTATCGTCATGTAAAACAAAATAGATTGCACACTAAAGTGTGTTAATTATGAAAGATTTAACAATGAACAACATGTTTAGTGTGTCACTAAGAAGAAAAAAAAGATGTGCAAAAATAATAAACTAGTTTAACTAATTTATAATGTTTCATGTAATTTTATCGCCTGCATTATTTTAAGGTTTTTAAAGAATTTTTTTTAACAAAAAATTAAATTTTTTACAAGAAGTTCTCTGCAAAAAATACTTAAGCGAACAATAAAAAGTTTGTGTCTATATGTGAAAAAAGTTAAAATCAACAATGACTTGCGTATTATCTTATGATTAATACACCTTATAAACTTTATTTTATCACTTATAAAAGAAATCCTCACAAAATTTGCAAAATGCTTTAAAAAAAAAGAAAAAACTAGAATTAAATGTTACTATCATCCTTTTTAAAACATAAACTATGCAGCTTTTTCCACACAAAAAATACAACTTACTCAAAAAAAACATGTTTAAAAAAATTTATATTTAAAAAAAAAAAAAAAAAGATTGATTTTGTTAAAATTAATTCAGTGTTTGGTTGGATTATTCGCAAATTTAATTAAACAAAATTAAAATCACAAAAGGGCTGCTTAAAAAGGAATTGATAAGTTCATTTAACCATTACTGGTAATTTTAACCTATTTTCTGATTTTGTGAGACATAGTAACAATATTCACTAAAAACTTTCCTGTAGAGCAAACATTAATAAAAAAAGAGTCATAATTAATAAAATAACAAATTTAATTAATTTATAAATTTTTCCAAGATACCTACATAAAGGAACTTACACCATTTTAAACTGGAAAAAAAAAAAAAGATTAACCGAAACAATTAAATAAAAAAATTTTCCTTCCGAAAACAATTTACAATGCATTTTGTATATATAGCTTCAATTATAAAGTACAGACTTATATGCACAAATTTTGAAGATTTTGATGTTTATTATAACAATAGAATAAAAATATTAATAAATCTCTAAATATTTAACTACTGTAAAAAAAAGTTTCATTTCAACAAATATATTAACTGAATTTAGATACTTTGTTCCATTTAAGAGAACTGTTATGAAATCATTTATAAATAAATCCTTGAATTATTGAATGCACTAATAAAAAATTTTGATTCAAAAGTATATTATAAAAAAATAGATACGTTCAAGTAGTACATATTGTGTAACCAATAAAAAAATTTGTACACAGACATAGGTGATGGCAATCAAACGAAGCATAATTCTTACACGTGTTACAATAAATAGGAGCATAAATTTTTTGAGGTACATTAAAAAAAGAAATTTCATGTACCGCAAAAAAAAATTATGAAGCAGAATAATGAATAACTTAACCTGACATTCAAACATTTTCAAATACAAACTATCAAATATTATATAGCAATTTTATATTGCAAATTTCAGAATTATTCAAAATCACATCAGTTGATATTTACTTATTTATTATAAATACATTAAATATGGTCCACATCATTTAATATATAAAGATATGTAGTTTACCATAATGAAACTAATAATAATAAAATATTATTAAGTATTAAAAATTCTTACAAAAGGAATCTTTGCCCTGGAAAATGTCAAACAAATATAAAATTGCAATCTAACGGAATTATTACTATTATTTGTTGAAAACAGATAAGTTGATTTTAAGAGAAACATCAAACAAAACAAGATCAGAATTTAACAATTTAACTTTAGTTTTGTAAATAAATTTATAATAAGAGCTCCACTCAGATTATTAAAAACTAATATAAATTAAATAAGGAAATAAGTCAATTTAAGATATTCCAAGTGTTAAACAATTGCAGATCGATTCGATTAAGTATTTCTGACTATTGAAAATTAATGTATTCAATACTAAATACATTGTTCACAAAAATAATTCCTTTATAGAATTTGATCAGTATTTCATTTATAAGATAATCAATTAAAAGAACAGGCTATTTAAAGTACTAATATTAAAACAAAGAAAAGTAGGAATAAAAACTATTTTCATAATTTAATCATAATCTAGTAAGAATTTCATAACCGTAGCAATGCATTTTATTAGTTTTGAAGTAGTTGTAATATTTATTAGATATCATCAATTAAACAAATACATTGCTTAAATAAGTCTAAATTGTCAGTAAATATTTAAATGTAATAATTTGTAATGAAGCTTGCAAGCAGTCAATGTATGCTATATTGATCCTTTTCTTAAAATTCTAGATTTGAGAACATAATAAATTAATTTTCGTCAAGTAAATCAAAAATTTTTAATGTAGCACACAGCAAATCAATTCTAATACAGTGTATTTTGGAATCGAAATCATTCTACTATTTATAGAAGTTAAAAAGTGTTAAATCAATCTAAACAGTTTTAGATAAGCTGGTTTTTGAGAAATATTTTACCTCAAAGTTATTTTACCTAAAACCATAAAATTAAAAAAATACATTTGCATATTTTATTTATTCTGCTGTATATTAAATTAAAAACAATTTATATTAAAAAAAATCAAACTTTACTTCAGATGTTAAAAAAAAAATTATTAAATTATAACACAATAATTTGTTTTATAAGAAAGGGAATTTATCAAAATCAATTTAGCTGATGTAATATTCAAAACAAGATTACACGAGCCATTTATAATAAAGCAATTATTTCTTTTTTTTTTAAATCACATTTTATGTTTACATTAAACATTGTTGTTCATATAACACAGTAACTTTAAATTTACATTTTTTCCTTCTGCCTGAAAAGGATCATTATAGTAGTCCAATGACTATATATTTTATGTTTAAACATTTTAACGCCACTTCATACAAAAGCTTTGTAGTAAATTTTCCAATTAAACAAATAAAGCAAAAACATGTTTTGTTTTATAAAATTTGCGAGATATTGAAAACTTACAAAAAAACAAAGTAAGAATGTATATTTCCTCCAAAGATAAATGTTTTGTTTAACAGTATTTTGTTGATGATCGTAACTAATCTATAATAGCTTAGAAAATTATATTTTTAATGCAAAAATAACTTATTCTAAGATTTTCCCTGGATTGCTATCTAAGAATAATTTGATAAAAAAGAAAAATATTTCTTTCATTATTCTATCTGTAAGCTCTGAACTTCTAGAGAAAAAATTTGAAAAGTTAAAGACTCAAAGCCCATACTACTTTTCTCAGAGGTAGTATAGTATTTAACCCCTTAACGCATACTATTTTTTTTTATTATAAAAAAAAACAGATAACACATTTTAAAACCTTGTTTTGGCAAAAAAAAACATTACAAAAATAAAAAATAAATCAAATTTCTTATTTGAATGTTGATCCACATTGCATATAAGAGACTATTCTTGCGTGCACACCAACTTTTATAATCTTTCTGCAATATGGCCTTGATATAAATTCACCAAATTACAACAACGAATAGCAATCAGTCACCAAATAGCGCAGCTTGCGCAATAGTGGTGGGGGGGTTTTTTGTGGGTTTTTTTTTTTGTTCTCTGGTAAAAGGCTTTTATTTTTTAATACACAAATCAGAGTTGCCACTCAAATCCAGAAAGAAAAAAAAATTCCCCGTGTTATCCCTGTACATATATCACATATTATATTAAGAGGAAACACCAATTACTGCATTCTTGTGTGAGCGATATTGGGCTAACTATATTTACTAGTTTTAATTGCTAGAAAAACAGCTGAACATACTTAAATAATGCTATGGTAAAAGAAATAGTTTCGTACAGCTGAAATACCAAGGTTGAATATTCCGTAGATTAGGCTTTGATTGATCACCATTTTTTAAAAGACAAAAATAAGAAACAAGATTTCCTGTATTTTCCCAGTTTGAAAAGAAAAAATCAAAATTCCCTGCATTTTCCCTGTTATTTTGAGTGATCATTAAATTCCCTGCATTTTCCAGGTTTTTCCTGAACATACTTAAACATTGCAATAGTAAATGAAATAGTTTAGTATAGCTGAAATACTGTGGTTAAATATCCCGTAGATTAGGCTTTGAGTGGTCACCATTTTTTAAAAGACAAAATTCCCTGTATTTTCCCAGATTGTAAAGAAAAAATCAAATTTCCCTGCATTTCCTATGTTATTTTAGGTGATTTCTAAATTCCCTGTATTTTCAAGGTTTTTCCTGTGGAGTGGCAGCCCTGCAAATGTTATAACTTACGATCCTATTATAATAATTAATATCAATTTTTAAAAAAAATTTCTTTGCCTTCATATTGTTAATTTCTTAATTCCTGATTATATTCAGGTTAGAGAAAATAAATACAACCCAGCTCAAATTATCTCAAACACACGTTAAGGGGTTAATAGAATTTCCATATTTTTTTTTACCATCCAATTTACAATTGTAATCTTGTTTTTAATTTTGAACTATCTGTGTTAGAAAGGATTCAAAACATCACATTTCGAAGTTCAAGTTACAAAATTTTAGTACAGTACGCTTTTTAAATATATAATACTAAATATTAAATACATAGAAAATTCTAAAATGCTGAAAATAGTTGATTACTTTCCATGTTACGCCACACTAAATACTGTATTTACTATGAAACTACATTCCTTTCACTATAAACAAAATTTAGAAACAAAGAGAATAATTTTAGAGTAAAATTTAGTGTGCAATAATATTCTTTTTAACACATGTTATGCATAACATAAATAAGAATTATTAATTCTGGGTGTAACTTAATATGGAACAATACTCCTTTTAACAAAAATAGAGGTTATGCAAAACTAAACTAATAATGATTTTAGAATATACAATTAATTGAGTATCAATATCATTATCTTTACTGCAAACAAAGAACATCAAAATAGAGAATTTAGAAATACAAATTAGTGCAATACCTTTTTTTACAAAATTTGGAGAAAAAATAATTCACAGGAAGGATTGAAAATTCTTATGCAACAATAAAAATAAAAAATTGCACTGAACTGTTTGATTTTAGAAACATTACGCACATACTGTATAAATATTTGATTACATAAAATTTTGATACATAAATTTATGATATTAACAAAACAAAAATTAGAAATATAAATAGACAAAGTTATTTGATTATTCAACAAGTAAAATATGTACAAAATGTAATTACCGGGTACACAATCTAACAATTTCTAATAGCATTTTCCCAATTTACTTTAGTGAATATTACAATCACCGGATTAGTAAACAATTTCTTTCTTAAAAATAAGAAGAAAAAAACCAGAAAAATCACAAAATAAAAATTACTTGGACAGTTAATTATGTCATTAAATATAAAAAAAAGAAAGAAAGACTGATTTAAATTAAATTACTAAAAATAACTAAAATTTATCCAAGGTAAAAAAAATTTTAAAAAATTGAATAATTGAAAGAAATATTTAGCTTTTTTGTGTAATTTGAGCACTTTAAATGATCAAAACTATTATTTAACAATTATAAGTAATTATTTTTATACAACAGTATTTTAAAGTTTTTATCATAAAATTTCCATTAAATATCTTTCGAAAGAATAAAACATTTAACAATTTATTAAGTATAACATCAGTTATAACAATTTTGTAAAGGAAAATGTTATTTCGTCAACACACGAGTTACCTTCTTATACTTAATGAGGGATAAAACTACCTGAATGCATTTTAACTAATAAATTTTTAACAAAGTATTAAACCGGAACAATATTAAATTGCAACTTCTTCTTATACTTAATGGGGGATAAAACTACCTGAATGCATTTTAACTAATAAATTTTCAACAAAGTATTAAACCGGAACAATATCAAATTGCATCTTCTTCTTATACTTAATGGGAGATAAAACTACCTGAATGCACTAACTAATAAAGTTTAACAAAGTATTAAACAAGAACAATATAAAATTGCAACTTATATTAATGGGAGATAAAACTACCTGAATGCATTAACTAATGAATTTTTAACAAAGTATTAAACCGGAACAATATCAAATTCCAACATTTTCGAAATAACTATATAAACCTTTTTAATTATAAAACATGAATTTCAATTTTTAAAAATTCTATAATTCCTTAAACATTATATTCAAAATCAATGAATTATAATTACATGAGGTTCTTTACTAATACTGTGTAGTAGTAAATTATATAACTAAAAAAATAATATATATAGCACCTAGTCAATAGAATCATGTGAAAAAATAAAGAACTTCAAGCCAGAAGTCGATTAAAAAAAAATCAATAAAGAATTAAAGGAGTACCTCTCTCTTCCTTCACTTGCTAAATTGCATTCAAGACTTCCATATTTTTCCAAATCTTTAACAATAAATAAAAGTTTTTACGCTAAAAACGAAGAAAATTTTTCATAAATAATTATAATTTTAATGGTTAACAAAAGGTGTTAAATCATAATTGGGATAACAGATTTTGTGATTTTCCTGTGTTTACTTACACAAAATAGAATAAATAATTTTTAGTTAAATAAACAATTTTACAATATAAGAAAGTCAATTACAGTACAGAACCCGTTATCCGGAAATCAGAAAACCGGAAAACCAAAAAACCGGAAAGAAATTCGATAAATTTTCCCGCCAATTTTAAAAAAAAAATTTTTTTTTCCTCATAAGATTTTAGGATTTTTCTTTCTTTTTTGAAAGATGTTTACCTTACTATCATTTTGGAAATNTAACAATAAATAAAAGTTTTTACGCTAAAAACGAAGAAAATTTTTCATAAATAATTTTAATTTTAATGGTTAACAAAAGGGGTTAAATCATAATTGGGATAACAGATTTTGTGATTTTCCTGTGTTTACTTACACAAAATACAATAAATAATTTTTAGTTAAATAAACAATTTTACAATATAAGAAAGTCAATTATTAAAGTTTAAATAATTACTACAGAGAATAGATAAGCTTCAGCAATACTCGTAACTGCAACTGCACAAGACACCATCCTAGTCAATAATGACTTTTTCAAATAAAATTTATTCTGTGGTAAAGATTAAAATATTATGGGCTCTGTCATTGTGAGGATACTTTTTGGACCCAGAAACCATGTTTATAAGGGATATTGAGTACCTTTACTCAATATTAGGGATATTGAGTAAATAGAATGCGAGCACAAATGCACAAAATATGGCATACATAAAAATCTGATATGAATATGTTCTCTCTTAGATACTTCAATATATTGTAAAATCTAAACACAAACATGAGCAAGTGCAAGAGGAACTGATATATATTTTTGCTTTTTTGCTGAAAGAGAACAGCTTTATCTCTCAAAACATGACACACAGACCCAATTTAAAAAATAGAAAACAAACAAAAGAAGCCCCACACATTATTTTTATATAACATATAGTACAACTTCTCATTTCAACTATCAATATCAAATGTAACAATAATTCAATATGAAGATATATATATATAGTAATAAATTTTCATTCCACAAAATTCACCGGTTTTGTTTTCTATGTTTTGCTTTTAAGCAAAAAGTTTTTTGATCACACTGACTGTCAGAATAATGGTTCAGCAGGCAGTGTGTTCAAAAATAAATAAATTTGTTTCATTTTAGAAGTTTTTTTTCAGTTTTTAAACCTTTCATAATACTAGTTTATACTTTTAAGGATCAAATTATACATATATATATAGCTTTCTTTTTCTTTTTTTTAAATTCCAGGCCAGAAAATTATCACATTTGCAAGAGCAGGACCTTGGAAATTATCACATGCCTAACACTGACATACTAGCAAACAATATTTCTCAAAAAAAGATGCAGCTGAACACCAGACACGCTAATTTAAAAATTAAAAAAAAAAAAAGGCAAACCTAAATGTATGACTTAAACACAGAGCAATGGTTCATTATTAATCCCAGCAACCCATTTAAGAATAAACATAACCGATACCAATTCATCAGCATACAAAGCATTTACATAAACACAAATACAGTTAAGAATGTTGGGTCCTTTTTTTATGTTCTCTCTGATGTAAAAGCACCTGGTAGCGATGGCAAAAAGTTTGAATGCACTTGTTGCAGTTGTATTTCTTCAGACAATGCCACTGCCTGTGAAGTACATAATTTCGTTTATGCCTAAAATATATTGGACTTTTTACACAAATCCTACATTTTAAAAGTGATCCTTGAGCTAGTTTTCTAACTTTCTTTATATATAAAGATATAAATTCTCTCTGGGAACTAGTGTTTCTCGTTTCTTTTCTAGATGGCGTTTTCTCTATTCTCTGTTCACTCGGTGAAGTGTCCTGTACGATAACTTTTCTCGGCTGTGTCTGTTTACGGGAACGCCTACCATTTTCTTCACTGGACTTCTCTACGCTGCTAGTAGGAGTTGAGCTCACTTTTTTCGCAAAAGGGAACATGGTCTTGACAGAGGAGTCCAGATAAGAAGTGGCCGGGGGTGAAACAAAATGCTTGTGTTCTATTTCTTCGCACAGCTGGCAACAAAATGGGTGATGAAGTTCTTTATAATGAGTAACAAATGAAAATCTTGTGCTACAGCGAAAGCCACAGTGAGGACATCGTACGACACCATCGTCATTACTGTGACTCTGCAGCACATGCTCCCTGAGAACGGTGTCATATGGTGTGTTGAAGTTGCAGCCATCACCGGCTTGACAGCGAAGTGTTTGGCCAGTGTGGATTCGCATGTGTTCCATCATCATCGGCTGCTTCGGAGTGGAGTAGCCACACACTGCACAGCCGTAAGGATTGAGTGGACGACGACCAGCAACTTGAAGAGGGTTTTCGTGAAAAAGTTCTTCATGCAAGGAGAGTGACTGAGGATCTGCAAAATCGCATCCACAGTAGAGGCACAGGGTTCTTGAGGCACTCGGATCTTGTGCTGTGGAAAAAAAAGCAAAAAATTAATATTTTACTCTATATTTGGAACAAAAAAAAACCTTTATGTTGATGATTTAAAATGCAACTATTAGAGTATGTTAATAACTAACTAAGATAAACTAAATTCAGTGACAAGACAGCCCATAGAGGGCCTACTGAACCCATCTCAGTTTTTTTTAGCTTGGGCTCTGGATTGCAAGAGCAAATGTTTCTTTTTGGTGGTCAACCGAATGCGGAACCCCCGGTGTTTAGTCCCCAAGCAAGCTTGGTACTAATGTTATCGACTCACTCAAGGGATGAAAGGCTGAGTGAATCTTGCCTAGTTTGAACCTTGAACCTGAGTGAACCTTGCCCAGTTGAGGATCGAACCAAAGACCTGTGGCACGAGAGTGCAAAGTGCTACCGCTCAGCCACTGCACGTCGTAAATAAATAACTTACATGTAGTAGTTGTGCAAATTGCACCATCCATCTTCCTCAAAACCAATAACTTTCTCATTGAAATGTGCCAGTCTGTCCAGACTGGAAAAGTCCTGAATATTAAACGAACTTACTCTTTTTCTTAGAAATATATCTAATTATAGCCACCAGTCTTTGTCCTAAAATGCTGCATGTATGCAGCTCTCTGCTATTGATGTCTCTGTTAAACTTATTTTCCTTCCTTATTTAATTCTTAAATTAATTATTGTCTTTTTTCCTCCCTTGCTTCACAAATCACTACATACATGTTAATTTTTATTGAAGAAAATAACTAAACATGAAATTATTCCCAAATGAACTTAAATTCTGAACTAGAGGAGTGCTTAGATGCAACAGTAAATACAAAATTCACACTTTTCCTACCATATGTTTCCTGAAAATTCTCTAAACATTAGTGACAATGCACAAGAAATTTGTGACAATGATCTATAATCACAGCTGTTAACAGCTGTCTTTTAACTAAAAATCTGAATAAGAAAAACTGGAATTGGATTGATCACATTTTTCGAGGTAAACCATCTGATCCCAAGCAAATACTAACTGGGGTGTCCCAGATAACCACAAAAAAAAAGGACAACCGAGAATGGCCTTTTGTCCAATGGTTTTTAAAAGAAAGACGCCTGTGGGTAAGCTGTGACAAGCTAGAGAAATGGCCATGGTCCAGAAGCAGACATGTGATTGCTGGAGGAAGAAAGTAGTTGAAATTTTTTCTCTCAATGTGTAGATTTTTTAATACAGTAGGGAACAGATTATCCGGAACGATCGGGACCATCGCTATTCCGGATAACTGATTTTTCCGGTTTTCTGAATTGCAACAAAAAGCTGTTTTTTTTATTGTTAAACCCAACTAAAAAAAAAAATTTTGGAAATAATCTTAAAAAGAAGAAAAAAACGATGAAGTAATATTATTCCGAATGATTGAATAATATGAATGGTTAATAATGATTATTTCCAAAATGAGGGTAGGGTAAAAATCTTTCAAAAAAGAAAGAAAAATCCTAAAATCGTATGAGGAAAAAAAAGTTTTTTTTTAAAAATGGCAGGAACATTCCTTGAATTTCGTTCCGGTGTTTTGGTTTTCCGGTTTTCCGATTTCCGGATAACGGGTTCTGTACTGTACTTTTTTTTACATCTTTTTGTACATTAAAGATAAATAAAAGACTACCATTTTTATGCATAAAAGTAACATTTATAAAATTTAAACAGAGAAGGCAAAATTTTCGTATCCAATAAATTTGTCTTTTTTTGACATATAAAAAATATATAAACAATGAAAACATTTATATATTCCTTTTTCTTCCGCTCATCCTCATAAAAAAAAAAAAAATAAAAAAAAAAAAAAATCTTGAGCAAAAATTGAAAGAAAATTATAATGATGACATGTGTATTTACACGAAAATCTAACTATTGTAAAAACAGTGGTATCATCGCAGCAAAAAGTTACTAATAAATGCACAACTTGAATTTTGCATGTTGTAACAATAATGTAATAATAATTTAACAAAAAACATTTGAGTAAATTCTTAGCAATATTAGCCAATAAAACAATTAAAACTCAGTATGGATTTATGATGGTATCCACTAAAATTGCGGGCATCAAAAAGTGATTACTAAATTGTGCAATTCAAATTTTGTGTGCTGCAACAATTTGGAAAGTTTAAAAATCATGAGAAAATCAATTGCATTAACTGCAAAATAGAAGAAAAAAAAAAGAGACCCAAACACAGATTTAAAGAAGTATCGAGCAGGTAGAAAACTGACTTCTGAAATGTGTAATTTTAGGAGACAAATGTATCACAATGATTAAATAATTCTTCTGTTACAATTAAGATATAACTTTTAAAACTTATTATTTAAATTCAGCAAATTATCGTAAGAGTCAAGTGCCTTCAGAAGTTGGTGCAGAAAACTTCAAACACATAGAGGCTTAAGAAGTTGCAAGGCAAAACAAAAACCAGAACAGCAAACTGCTGGGCAGGATTCTCAGTTCACCAATTAAAAATTCAAACCATATGTTAACTTTTATTGAAGAAAATATTCAAACAAAATGAAACAAATTTACTAAAAAGGAAACTAGAAGGGCAAATTAAATGGGGATCTGATACCATATATTGACAACACTTCTTATTTTCCGGTAAAATGTTGTTAGTGATTACAATGGTGCACACCAACAATAGAAATTTAGTGGTTCAATAGGACTACTTAGGTATTTATTTAGTGGTCCAAAAATTAATATGGTAAACAAACTTTAGAAGAAAAAGAATCAAACTTTACAATTGCAAAATTCATATTATGGTACCCATCAAAAGTTAATAATTACCATCTATAACACCCTAAAACTAATTATGATCATTACCCCATAATGATTGAAATTGAGAATTTATAAAAATTAAGTGGAAAAAAAGTTTAAATAATATTAGTAAATAGATTCAACATACAGATTAAAATGCTAAAACCAAATAAATAAAAACAAATGCATTGATTAAAAATGTTTTAACAATTTTGGTCTATCATTCAGTTTTTGGAAAGAAATACTATAAAAACTCTCAACAACATAATAAATTTTTATAGGCAGCATAAAATTATGACCAAAGCAATGCACACAAGGTTCACATGTAAATACAATTTTTTTTCACAACAATATTTTCTTACACAATTTATATAGAAGATCAAATATAAGTTTTGTTGGATGAAATTATGTCAATTTTTTCATTATTTATAGATCTGAAAAGCAAAAATCTCACTTCAGCTAAACATGACGAAAATTAATAAAATTCTTTATAAGTGAGACATATTTGTACAATAGAAATTAATGCCAGCTAACTACTTCTGCAGAATTGTCCAGAGATAAAATATACTTATAAAACTAGAAAAAGAAAAAATAATTATCAGCTTAAGAAAAGTATATAAACAGAAGTTTAATAAAATTTTTTTCAAAGATCAATATTCCAATTTTTGAAAAAATTTAAACATTACAAAAATACATGGCACCGGCAATGATATTTTAGGTGCCATGGCAAGTTGAATTTTCATAAATTTGTTTTATGTCTCCACTGGATTATCCATGTACAAAACACATTGTTGAATAAGAAAGAATAGAAAACAAAATCCCCAATATTCAGTTTAAGAAAAGAACATTAACATTAACTCAAAAATTTCTAGAATCAATGTTCTGAGTTTGAAGTTTTTAAAAATAAATAAAAACTATTTCAGGTACAATGGCTATCAGGATTTGTAGATCCCTGTTCATACATTCATTTTTAACAAAAAATATTTTATAACTTTTTGTATTACATGCAATGATCGACAACTTCGCTTGGTTGGCAGGACGCTGGGTCCATGTTTATAAGAACAAGAACTTGAATCCCGCCGGCCAAAGAATCCTCGTGTATTACATGGTGACTAGAACGTGTTAAATCAGTCGAGGTCATACCTTAAATCAATACCTCTGGGGGGGGGG